CCATGAAGACATGGGGAAATGGGTATATAGATCCACGGTTTTTTGAACTCAGCACTAGTTGGAGGTGAGTTCTTAGAAAATATTCATATCAGCAGAAGCTAGTTAGCCATATAAGAATAGCAAGGAATTTTAACCACTTACACGTTACATTTCATTTTGCAGTCCAGCATCGTCAGAAAGAAAAAGAATATCGACAAAAATTGACTGAACTTCGTAACAAAGAGAAAACTAAAATTGATGACGAAGAAAGCTTATGGAAAAGATTGGATGAGTTAGAGCTACAAGAGGAGTTGGAAGAAGAGCTTGACAGGTGAGAAGGCAAAATAGAAGCTGCAACTTCCATGCCTAAATTGCTTCATGACACAAAAATTTTGGTTCCCTAAATTACAATCCTCTCACTACTTCTAGTGTTTACATATATCCAATCCATTCTCTGTTACCTCGTATATCCCCAGTACCATTCAGTGTGAAGCTGTGTTGTCTCTTGCCTGGCATTCACAGCTTCTGAAGTGATACCAGCAGCACTGCATGTGGCATACATTACCCTAAGAAGAAATTATCCACTTCACCAAAATAACATGCCTTGAGTTTAGCGGAAACTTTCTATGTGGAGATCTTACTTGAGGTACATATACGGTCATTGAGGAAGGGACATAGCATGAGGGTGTTTGAGAACAGGGTGTTGAGAATATTTGGACTGCAGAGGAATGACATGGTAAGAGGTTGGAGGAAACTGCATAATGAGGAGGTACATAACTTGTACACCTCACCATGGACGAGATGGGCAGGGCATATGGTATACGTGGGAGAGAAGAGAAATGCATACAGATTTTTGGTGGGAAACCAAAAGGAAGATTAGGAGGACCTAGACATGGATGGGAGGTTATTAAAATTAATCTTAGAGAAATAGGATGGAGGGTATGGACTGGATTCTTCAGGCTTAAGATAGAGACCAGTGGTGGCCTCATGTGAATATGGTAATAAACTTCCAGGTCCCATGAAACATTGGGAATTTCTGGAGTGGCTGCGCAACTTTGACCTCTCAAGAACTCAGCTCCATGGAGTTTGTTCATCCATATAGAGCTTATAACAAATTCTGTAAATAATACAAACTGAAGAATGCTGTATGCTATATGCTGTATAGTCCGGTAGAAAGTTATGAAGCTTCTGGAGGAAGTATACTTTTTTATCCTGGAAACGGAGACAGCATGTTCCTCTGAAACACTAGTAACTTTCTACCATCATAAACTTCCTCACCTTGGAAATCTTATATCGAAACCAAACATCAACACTGTCAATATTGAGGTATGGATGTTATCATGAACTAGCTCATTCACTTCACATCATCACTTCACTGTTATTCTAACATTTCTTAGCCTTCTGAGTGGCTGTCTTCAAGGGTTTACTACTAAAATTTTTTCTTGCATTGCTCATCCAAGTTAAATATTCAGTCCATTGTTAACTTCTGCATTTTGCTTCCTTGACAATATTTTATGAAATGAAAAATCTCAGAAAGTTTGTTGTTGCATAATACACACTTCATTCCTCACTAGCTTAGTATCCTGCCTCTTGTTCTGACACATTTCTGTTTGAAAATTATCACAGGTTCCATGCGGATCGCGAAGACATGGAATATGATGAAAATAGTGAACTTGATACAGATACTGATGAAGAAAGTGATGCAATAGAAAATTATGATGCTGAGTATTTGCTTTTAAGAGAACAAATCAGAGGAGCAAATGGCCTAGTAAAACAAGATATTGCAATGCCTGAACATGCTGTGTTGACTGAACAACATGAATCCAGAAACGGTTCCAAACCACAGGCTCAGAGCATAAGTTCCGTAAGTCCGGCCAGGCGTGTATCATTTGCAGATGATAGAACTGCAGATATAAATGAGGGCAGTGATAGTGATTCAAGTGCAGAATGCTTGAGGATTGAATTTCAACACACGCCTGTTGAGAGCGGGGCAAAAGAAAGTACAAAGTCTGATGGACATCCCATACAAACTCCGGCCAATATCCATGAATATATTAAGGAACTGATGGCAAAAAATGGTATACCTAAGTCAATCCTAAAGAATAAGTCAACTGATCAAGTGAGTAGAGGCAACACAGGACCACATCGGATGCAGTGGCTTCAGCAACCAGACTCCATTCCCATAATAACTCAGGAAATGGAAGAGCCTCTGTGGAACACTGCTGAACTGCAGCCAGTGGAGGAGTTAGACGAGCGCCCAGTGGTAATCACATTGGTTTAATATTTTTAGTATTGTTTCACCTTCATTCTTTATGGTGTTCCCTGAGGATCACATGGCAGCATAGGCAAACCAAGGTACCATCTAGGGCAGCACATTTTACAGACTTCTTTTTAATGAAAATTAGTTTCTGTTGAAGGTTTGTTCACGTGACCATTAATTGTCATTAACCTAAATGTGTTTCATAACAAAACTTTAAAGAATTATGTCAGCTCTTGACACATTTCTCTGGAAACTGTTACTACAACAAAATCTGTCAGACTTCTTATAAGGTAATCTTCACTCTGAACAAGCGTATTTAAACTATCCATGTGTTCCAGAAAAAGTGAAAATTGAATGATCTCCTTGCACGTCCTGTTCACCGATTAGTATCTCATTTCTCTAACCTTTTTTCTAGAAATTAGATGCAAGGTCACATTGTGTTTGTTTTGTAGGTGTTTGGATGTGTGCATGAGCATTCTTCAGAAGAGCCACTGCTACCACCAGAACAACCCATACCAACTCGTCCTGTTAGTAGATTCAAAGCTGCAAGATTAGCGGCTAAGAGGTGACAAGAATCTTCAACATCTGATGTTCTGTGACTCTGTGGAGTTTGGCTGAAGGAATTACAGTCAAGTTTATATGTTCTGTGTACAATGTAAGATGGAAAATATAAACAGTGAAGCATTTTCTTAATACTATCACAGCTCATGTTGTTCCCTAAAATTCAGTGGAATTACCATTTTATGCTTCTGGGCCTAGGATTTTCCCTTATTTAACATTCACTTTCAGTGGTCCCAGGTCAAGTGTCACAGTGTTAACTTTCTTCCATTTAAGATTTTCCTATTTTAAAATCCACTGCTTACAAAAACCATATCTGTCAAGTATGAGTTCTTCAGATGGGTTCTGTTCACCAGAGTAAGATATTACTGTAGATAATTTATCAGAGAACATGGCTAGCACTTGTGTTTAGCACTCCCATTTCATGTTCAGGACAGTTTTGATTCGAATAAGCAGCCCAGAGACTTGCAACCCTGATGGTTTTCCAGTCTCTCCCAGAAAATGAATTTACTTACTTACTCATGGAGCTGAGCCCTTCTTCAGGAGCCGCCAATTCTGAAGTACTCAAGAATTTCCCAGCATTTTATGGAACCCAAAGGTTCATTACCATGTTCACAAAAGCCCTCCATTGGTCCCTATCCTGAGCCAGATCAATTCAGTCAATACCATCCCATCCTATCTCTCTAAGATCCATTTTAATATTGTCCACCCACCTACACCTTGGTCTTCCCAGTGGTCTTTTTCCTTCTGGCTTTCCCACCAATATCCTATATGCATTCGTCTCCCCAGAAAATGGATTAGAGCTTTAAAAGAGACCGTCCCACTTCCACGTTCTTCTCAGCAAATCGTTCACAATCTTGTCATGCAACACTGTAATCAATGATCGCCAACGTCTGAAGGTACATCGTACCTTGAGTAGACCATGTGGAAGAAATGCCCTTTGTTTTCAACAAGATTTACAGTATGGCAGCTTTGGTTCCCATCACTGTTTAAAATGGAATCTAGCACTTTTTAATAATATCATGATCTATATCAGTATCATGATGACACAACCTCAAAGATATTTTAGACACAGCACACAAGTACAATAAAGTAGCCTTCTGACTCCATCTTGTGCCCTGAAGATGGAGATGACAGATTCCTCTTGAACACTTACCAAACTGCAGTCACATCCGGTAGTATTGTAATTGTAATGCCATAAGAACCTCAGATCTCATGTAATAAAGTAAAACAAAGGAACAAACAGCAGAAGCTGGCAACTGGCTTCTTTCTAGACCTTTTAAACCATTTGTGGTACTGTATTACATTCTGTAAATTTTAAATTTAAACTTAAAGGGATGATCAAAGGACAGGAAAAAAAAAAAAACAAAGTAAAATTCATGATCTGCAGTGAAACCCACATTTAGTGTTGCTGGATTCAAGATTTTCTCTCATTTAACATTTAATTCAAATTGGCCCGAATCAGTAATTTGTGTTAAGTTTCCTCAGTTTAATGTTCAAAATCACTGGGCATAAGAAGTATTTTAAACAGGGGTTTCACTGTATACTGCTGTTAACACAGTCAAAAGTGCAGTAATCAAACTGAGAAAAATATGTTGAGCTATATATGTCAGATGGGTGAAAATTAATATGTATACAGTCTTGGTGGGGAAGCAGACATCTAAAACCGGAGACTACTAAGTTGAATATTAATGAAATACATATTTCAAGGTCTGAAGTGCATTCAGCAGCACAAAATCAAATACAGTGACAGGTTTTGGTACTGAAAAACATGTTTTGTTACTAGTTAAATTCAGCTGAGAATCAAGTTGTATGGAATATGAGGACACTTTACCAGTTACAACCGGGAGAAAGAGCAGCAGCTGACCTCACCAAATCATTGTCAAGTTAGGAATATAGTCAAAATACACTGAGTTAGTGGAAAGAAGTTCCATGGAAGGTGGGGATGGCAGCACTAGGCTTTCCCCTCTGTATCTACTGTTTTATTCTCCTCTAATCCCTGTCCTACATCGACCAGCTCAAGTGCCTGTTGGTTATCATTCTCAACAATCATGTAAAGTGCTGGCAAACTGGAAGGAAAAGATTGTGGACAAACAGAAGAGACTGGAGACTTTCATCCATCAACCTGTACAGAAACAGAAAAGTTGAGAGAACAAAATGACAACCTTGCAAAACATTTGCAGTTTGATAAAAGATAATCTATTTCCAAGGATTACAGGAAATGGTATGGAATAAAAACAACAGTTTTATTTTTTACTGATGTAATTCAGTCTTTGAATTAGCAGTAAATGTAGGAATAATGCAATTTGAGCCAACAATGATTTCCAAAAATTTCATAAACAAATTAACTAGTGGCTAATAACCAACCAACCACTTTAAACATAATAATTTGAAAACCAAAATTTCTCAACATTTATTCCACACATGATTTCAAAAAGAAAATGAAGCCAAGGATATTGTGAAACAAATGGAATGTATGCTACAATGTGAAGAATTTTTCAGTTCTCAGTGCAGTTTCAACTTTCAAAACCAGTGCATAATTATGTTTCCTTCATGTTGGAGACCTCTAAAATTATGTTCTTTGCTTTGGACATTGAATACTAACACATTCTTATAATTCATGGGGGGGGGTGAAATGAAGGTACAGAATATTCTTGGCATTTGTAGAGCTAAAAATAAACTTCAAGTTGTACTTTAACTCCTCCATTTCTAAAAATGATAAGCCATACTACAATATCCAATTATCACTTCTCTTTTCACTGCCAGATGAAAGAGGTTCTTATTTCTTGGAATGCAATAAAATATATCAGATTATAAAGAAATTACACATTTACAAAAAGTTCTATTTATTTAAAAAATATTTTTGATACACATATATACACATAGGCAAAGAAATGCAAGTATTATTTGAATTATGCAAAAATAAAAGGCATGAATGAATGTAAATTTGTGGCTTGAAGACACATAAGAGCCATAAACCATAAATGAACTTAACATTGAATGAAATAACCTATCTCAGCTAAATTGTCCATACCAATTAAATAAATTTATGATAAGAGTAATGTACTGTTGGTCAAGGATGCATGTAAAATTTGTTATGAGCCAGAATGTAGAAATTCAGACAGTTTATGCTTCTCTAGGCAAATAAATGCATAAGAAGCAAATAGTCTTATGCCAGAGAACAATGAGAATAGAAAACATTGTGGTTTACATACCTGTTGCTAAGCAGTGACTCTGTAAACAGGGGCTATTGCTATGTACCGCCTGCAACAGTAGAACAGTGGGGTTATGCAACCCATTTCTAAGCAAGAGCTCTGTAAACACGGGCCCACAGTAAACATGCCTCCTCAACAATAGGGAGGCTGTGTTTTCACACCACGACCATTGCTATGCAACGGCATGGTAAACATGCCTCAACAATAGAGACTGTTTTTCTGTGTGGTCCGTGCTGAGGAGTTATCTTGAAGATAAGTGGCGCTACAGTTCAGTTGAGGGTTCAGTTATAGTGTTGACCAGCGGGCAACGGAAGCTGAAGAATCTCCACTGCTAAGATTCGTTACTAGGAAATGACTAGTGTAAACACTGCAGAGGAATAACCATTGTTGAGCTGTTACCAAGTAAAGATGAGTGAAAGTAGACTGAAAAGACTTAGCATAAAGTGATTTCAGCATGGACATCAGCAATAATGTTATAGTTATGACCTGTAAGTGGTCAATAAATGTATTCACCAATCAAACCCCACCTATAATTACTAATACATGTGACACACTAATGTACTGAATATCCAGTAGAGGTTTAAAATATTTAGCACAGATCCCGCAAACAGTGACTGAGTCCATGGAGAGTAAAAAATAAACACCGACTCACACATATTGAAAATGCAGATACAGGATTGCACATCATTAATATTATTTTTGAATCTTGAAATTGGCCTGGGGCTAAATCATCATGCCAGTACATTTAAGGCAGATCAGCAACCAACATTAAAATAATCCTACACTAAAACTTTTGCCAGTGACATTCTACAGAATATAAAATGACAATTTAATCATAACATCCCAGTAGAGGTTTAATGCATCAGAATTAATAAAACCCAAAACATTACGTAAACTAACGACAAGATGAACATGAGCATGGCTTTGTAAAGTACAACTTAAAGTTAGAACTACATTTGCTCTACCACACAAACCACAGACTGATACACTGCAGTTTAAAAAAACATGTACCTTCGAAATAAGTGCTATGCTGGCAGATAGTCTGGCATGGTATAAAATACAAAAACTATAAATACAATTGTTTTCAGGTATGGCAGTGTTGTCGCTGTTGTCATAAACACATAAGCTGGATCTGCTTATGTAAAATGAAACTAATACCTAGTGATACACTCCTATAAGGACAAACTCCATGAGGTGGTGGTTCAAATGCATTTCAATCTGTGACATGTAAAAGCAGAGAGAAATCTTGCCAGCCAATCTCCCCTGGGACATACACATAAGACTGTTATGCAACAGGCAATACAAGGTTAACACAAAATGAACATTAAAGGGCCAAAGGCCTGCAGGGCCTTTTTATCTCATGNGCTGGCCTGTACATGTCTAATGTGTGGAATGTTCAGGAAACCACTTCGATGACAAGAACCAGGTTGCCTGTGAACATGCGAGTATCTCCCCTACAGGTTACACACCTACAAAAGTCAATCAGTGTTTAGTTCAGTTTACTACACTGCAGAAAAGTCAGGAGAATTGAGTGCAGTGAATAAGCAATGATGTTACTCTGAAGCAGGGAGCAAACAGAGCTGGTCTCAGTAGCATAAGGGGTTATGGATTGTGGAATAAGTAATTGCTCCAAACACCAGTAACTGTTACAATATATTGCACAAGTGTCCCAAGGGAGAATAGTGTCTATTCATTTTATACCATCTTGCAATAGTTAATTTTCTCTTTGCCACTCACTATAAGGACCACCATTCTCATTCTAACACAGCAGCACTACACAATGCAGATAAAAATATGAATTTGACAAATAACTCTAGAAGAGAAATATGCTGTCTACCTCACTCTGCTTTTAAGAAAACCTTCAAACACTCAAATTCTATAAACCCATAAAATCCTACGATACAATTAGATATAATCAGATCATACCAAATAAGCAACAGAACGGCATTGATCTGAATAAGGAATATGCTTATATGGGTAAATTTATGTACCAACCAAATGTTAACACACCTGCGATTGTCTCAGCACTATGAATCTTTGCGACTGTTTGACGTTTCATTATATCTAATATACTATCTTTAATACATGAATGTTATATGCAATCTCTTTCAGTCTTGTATTTTTATATAAAACTGAATGAAAGGCTTTAATATGCAACTCAAGGACTTAAAACTCTAACATGTTACTATTCAAACGTTTCTACCACAAACTAATAACTTACCATGTCTCCTTGTTATTTCCCTAGATCTATGAGAATTATGTAACGTGATTGGAGTAGATACTTCCATGGCATTGCAATAACAGTGGGCCGCTGCGTAGACAATGCCAAAACAACAAACGTGTTTCCGCGGAGATGAACAACAAAAGGCCGTTGAGTACCAACAGATGAGACGAAACACGTTACGGCCGTAATCTATAGAGATCGTTCCTGAAGCAACGGATTGCCAAACAAATGAGATCAAACCTTGGCGAATGGTGTCTCGTATCCGGTCCGAGAACACCTACATAAGCCGAGAGTGACAGAGCTAATTAGCCTTCATAGGACACAGTTGGAACCTAGCCTTCCTACAAGACAGTTGGAACCCAGTCGAGACGTCGCAGAAGCCACGTTATACCACAAGCGATAATACTTGTATGGTGTATAAGTGTGAGTGTCCAATAAAGATTCGCTCAATCCGAGACCCACGTGAATTTATTTGTCGCATGACACACCCAACACGTGACAATGTGTGTTTATTAATGGAAATGGCAATACTGTTCCCAGCTACGTGAGCTAGTCTGTAAAACTTCCTGCAGTACATTTGCAATAACAGTACATACCCACCCACAAGTTCCAACCTCTTTCAAGCCAAAATTAATAGGAAAAATATCTATATAACTTTTAAATCCAGCTCTGATTTGAAAAATGAAACATTATTTACCCATCAATTTAAGCGTGTGAAAGTACTATGGCTGAGGACAAGAGACTAGAATTAAAAAGCGCTTCTCTGGCATTGATAGCCACTGTTCTATTCACTTGTGGTATGGGCACATTTCTGTGAACCAGTCACTACTCAATGGCAATACAATATGCTTATAATGTACAAACCCCTCATATACAACATTTCTGATAAAAAAAAAAGTACTGACAACACAATGTAAACTTTTAAGTTGAAAAAAATGATTAGTTTCTTACACCTACATCATTAAATATTTATACTTTTTATTTTGAATAAAATTTGTTTTGACAAACATATATTTACTTGCAAGTAGGATTATAAAATTGGCACTTTTATTTTTTTAATCCCAAACACCGAACTTACTACTTAATCTTGTATCTTTTAGTTGCTTCAAGGGCTAAACAAGTCCCCATGTCAGATGGAAATACAGATACCCATGAGCATTTGTTTCTGACTGTACACTCATACATATATACACTAGCTATGATGTTAATAGCTACACTACATTAGAGCTATAGCTGACAATACATGCAAAATGAAATGTCCTAAGTCCCAACACCTTGCACTTTCAGTATTGATATGGTCTTCATTGTATTTATGATGTGCAATTTTATAATGGAATGTATTTTCCTAAGAAAGACTTCCTGCTAATGTGACTTTGTGATCTGATATGCTCTTCCTACTGGAAGGTGGTGGCGTAAGAAGCCCTGGTGCTGCTGCTGCCGCTGATGGACTCTCTTCTATAGATGCTATCTGACTTTCACGTGTTTTTGCCTTGTCCTGAAACATAATTTGAACTCTCAACAGATCACATATAGCAAATAAAGGTAAATGTAAAACCGTTCTTGTGCTTAATTACAAACCACAGAATACAAATATAAGTGGTGGAGGTACAGCTCCATGCGTTCTTAACCTCAGCACTTTCCTTTCTAGAGAAACAGCCCCAAGTACCCATTAGATAGTAGGCTGAGTGGACCCCAGAGCCAGTCTAGCTGCTGAAGAGAAGAAAAGTCTCCTGGCCCTACCAAGAATCAAACACTGTTTCTTTAGTTGACCAACCCACAGCCTAGTCGCTATACCGACTGAGCTGTCCTAGTTCCTGCCAAATTAAATAAATTCAAAATTATCTTCACCATCTTCAAAAATTAGGCTCACTTGACTGTTTTGTACCCATCTGAATCACCTTCGATAACTCTCACCTTTCCAAAAGTTTTTCAACATTCCTGTTTCATTAAACTATAATATGCCTGTCCCTGACAGGCCTACTACAGCCATTCCCACTGGAATCCTGAAGTCTAAGCACAGATCTAACTAAGGGTGAACTACAATATAAATGCAAACAAAAGAAGTAATTTTCAACTGAAGCTTAAAATCTGAAAATTTATGATGCTACCAGCTGGGATTACAATCCATTGATAACGTAAGCATGTATGAGGGGGTACCCAAAAGAAACCGAACTTATTTTTTTTAAACTTATTCAAATTTTAAGCACAAACCTTCAATCCCCTTCAAAGTACTCTCCACTTACACTAATACACTTGTCTAGTCTTTTATTCCATTTTTCAAAACATTGTCTAAATTCATCTTTTGAGATGCTTGACAGCACCGCCGTCGTTTTTTCCTATGTCTCTTTTCATTCGAGGAAACAAAAAAAAGTCGCGCGGGGCAAGGTCGGGTGAGTATGGAGGATGAGGAACAGGGGTCATACCATTTTTGGTCAAGAATTGTCGTACAGACAGGGCTGTGTGAGCAGGGGCATTGTCATGATGGAAAAACCAGTCACCCAACTGCCACAAATCTGGCCGCTGAGCTCCAAGTCACTCCCGACAGCTCCACAATTTCTTCAATGGTCCGTCGTCGATCTTCCTTTTTCAACATTTTCATGTGTTCTGGCTGTGGAAGGACAACTAGAACGAGGTTTGTCATCAATTGACATTTCACCATTTTTGAAATGGGAAAACCACTAAAACACTTGAGTTTTCCCCATAGCATCGTCCTTGTACGCCATTTTTAACATTTCAAGAGTTTCTGTTCCACTTTTCCTGAGCAAAAAGCAGAATTTCACCGCCACACGCTGTTCACGAAAATCAGCCATTGCAAAAACGACGATCATACAAAACAGTTGTCATTATAAACTCTGCCGAAACTAGTCCTTACCTTCTGAAGCAACGGTAGTCGGCTTATCGACTCAGGAATGTTAGCTCTATGGGCTCATAGCGGCAAAATGCGGTACTACAAAAGCTCTGCCCACAAAAAAATTAGTTCGGTTTCTTTTGGGTACCCCATCATATCTTTGACACCTTCAGAGTTTGGACTTTTTCACAAGTTTCTGACCACATGCCATTGTGAAACTTAATTTTCACAATACATTACCACAATCAAGGCAACAACAAAAAATGTTCCACTTGCAGTGAGAAAATCCACTTCTGTACTACTACTTCCAGTATTTCGAGAATTCATTATGAAAACAATTAACATTCCTCTCAATGACACAAAAAGATGCTGTAGATAACAAAAAAAAACTCCCTGGCTTTAGTCAGCAAGTGAACTATACTGACTGAGCGACCACTGCTTGTTGGCGAAGTTAGTACCAACTTTAGCAGATAGAGGGTGTTGCATGGTCAGCGCAATGGATCGGCATGGCCATTAATCTCAGTTTTCTAGACCGGAGCCACTAATTTTCCATTCCAGTAGCTCCTCAATTATCCTCACGAGGCTAAGTGGACCCCATTCCCGAGCCATTACTTGTCAGAAAATCTGGTAGAGCCGGGAATCGAACCCGGGACCTCTGACCACTAGACCACAGAGGCGGTCAAAGATGCTGTAGAGAGAGGGAGTAATTTCCTTTGTATGGTCTCTTTAAGTATTACAGAAACAAGTTAGGAAATGCATACACAGCAGACCAATTCTACTCAAGTTTCCTCAATTGCGTATCTCAAAACATGAAAGACTTACAGAAAAATTGTACTAGTCATGACATGTATGTTCCAGTTTTCTCTACAACTTTTGTTCAACAGGCCTGGCACTACCTACCAGCATTTGGAGATCCACTGTGTGAGTCTGAATGTTATGCGAGTCATCCACAACAACATGAGGCATAGATTTTAACAATCCAGAACCAGTATTGGCATCACTGGTAGCTGTGCCTTGCCTAACAGCAGCTGTCACTTGAGTCTGACCCTCCTCTCGAATAACATACACAAATGCAGCCATCCACTTGACACAATTCGCTATATCCCTCCACTGCAGGCCTAATAACAAAACAGAATAAGATGGCTCAGTTAGGTACTGGAACACATCAAGAGAAAATAACTGCTAATAAATCAGAAGGAAAATAATGTTGGAAAAGAGACCAAACTGAAGGCTTTTCTTCCATCAGCCTGTATAGTGGAAAGGATGCCAGAAGACGACCCATAATAGCCATTAAAATTTGTTTTAAATTTGATATATGACACACTATTTATTTGGAGTACAGGAAAATTTCTGGAATAAAAAAATGTATTTTATTAGTGCAATTCAGTTTTTAAATAAGCAGTAAATGTAAGGATAATTGATTCAACTTTACATAAAATATTCCAGTCATTCCATAATTTAATCGGTGGCAAATAGTCAACAGTCTTTAAATTTAAGTATCTGAAAATCACAATTTTCCATCATTCAACACACAATATACAAAAGAAAATTAAACCAAATCTAACACGAAACAAATAGAATGTGTACTACAACACAAAAGATTTTAAGTTGACCGAAATTTCAATTTTCATATCCAGTGTTCAGTGTGTTTATATTCTCTTTCATCTAAATTTCCAGCATCAGTTTTCTTTCACAGAATCAAATTGTATAAGTTTGTGTATCTGTCCCCCGACACAATTGGACATCACTGACATCAATATCAGCAATAATTTCAATGGTTCATCTACTGATCTGTTCAGTCTTCAGTTGAACCTCCTTTAATGAATTCATCTTGTCACTGGTATGACATAATTTAACACTGAAGGTCAACCAAACTTGATACAGCATTTTAACTACCTGACAATATGGAGGCCATGTAAACTTCTACAGTAGAAACTTGTAATCTCAGTGCTGAAGCTTCCAGTTTTATCCTTGGTTTACAGAACAGTACTTTAATTCCCTTTCATTATATAATACTGAATAACGAGACAATTATAGAACAATGAATTGAAAAGTGTGCGGCTTTTTCACTTTTGAGATTAGAAAACATTTTGATAAACTAAATGAGAATTTTTCTATTAGCCACTTCTTCACATTGTGCTCAAGTGTACCACTCAGGCCTTTCAATACCAGATCTTTTTTCAATGAAAATTTTTCATAAATCATTGTATTAAAAAAATGGAATTCTGGGGCCATATCCTCTTCCACCAGTGCCATGAGACAAATTTTTTTGACAAGCTGATTCATGCTAATGCTGTCAACCATTACAATTCTGATAGAGTAGGCAGTTTGTGTGCTACTATGCAAAGCAAAACCAGTTATCTCAAAATTCTTGAAATTCAAGACTAAAATCAGTACTCAAATTGAGACAGTATATTCTTTTCTCCATTTAATCTTGAAAAGTGGAACTGAAAACATCTATATACAACCTGCCATTGTGCTTCATTGTAGCTACTTCTGTAAAGAACTTTATATAGAGCAGAAACCCCATTTAAAGTTTGTCTGGGGAGCAGTTAATCTGAACATTATACAGAGGAGAATCTTGAGTGGGGGACATTTAACTCTGATATTTTTTACTTTGGACCACTGAAACTCGACATTTAATGAGGAAAAGCCTTAAACCATAAGTGGGGGTTCTACTGTAATTAGAATAGGTTAAAAACTAAAAACCACACAATTTGTTGCACATGCTGGACAAAACTTAGTTACTGTGAACTAATAGTATACATTTCAGCACAGAATTCAGTTTCGCTAGAATATAGGACAAAAGTAAAACAATGTGTTACCTGATACAAAAAGCGAGAGTTCCCGACTGAACATGTGATATAGAGCAGTAGCTGCCAATATACTGTAAGCAAATTTCAAGCTTCCTTCATCAAGCATGCACAGGTCTACCAACTGAGCAGTCTGAACAAATGCCAACCCAGAATACTGAGGGAATATAAAGCTAGGATCAGGCTGGCCCAAACATTCAGCTCGTCGTGCCCTCTTCCGACCATCACAACAAAGCTGCATGTACATGCTAAGCCAACAGTTCACTGTCACGGGAGACAGGTTCCAATTTAATGTCTGAAAAAAACACATATCATCACAACTTCACAGATCCAGCATATATTTATCACTCACATAACTCTTATCTTTCAAAAGCTACACTGACAGAACAAAGCTTATAGCATTTATAAACTAATAACATAATTCAGCAATACATCCCTGTCTATAACTTCCATTAGCAGAACTCATTACACTGTCCTGATCTCCAGTGGTTTATTGGTTATTGAAATTCAACTCAAAGCTAAACACATTTTACATAGACATGTCTTACACTGTAACTTACACAGAAATTGTATATTTTTTCAAATACTGACACAGTATCTCAGACCTTACATTAATATATCAGCATGGTTTCACGTGTATGGCAGAAAGCAACCAAGAACTCATGGCTGATGTGCAGAACCATATGCTGGTACTTGAAAATGAACTCATCTGGAAAGTTATGCCTTAGGGATGTTGGATCACTTGTACTGCAGCCTACATGTCACACAGTTCAGTCTGGTCAGCACATTCCAAAAACATCCATCCTCGGTGTAATCCATGTTATTTATATTCATTCTGCACCTACCCCTAGCTACAACGCAATGCTGCTTAGTTTGCCACACAGACAGTAGCAGAAAATGTAGAATTATCAGTCTGTTTTAACTGTATATATTTAAGTAACTGGCAACGCAGTCAAGAGCTGCATGACCATTGCAAGAGAAATGATGTAGGTGAGTAGAAGACAAAAATTGGTTTGTGTCATGGCAAAAAAGTTCTGGAACTTGCTACAGTTAATTCTGGATTCAACTCAAATCAAGGTACCTTCAGTATGACTAGCTCCATGTCAAGAATTTCATTCTCCGAACAGGCACCATCAGTTACAAAAGCAAATTCTGCTATTTTGGGAGGATATATTTCTTCAACTTTGGCAGCTATAAAGAGACATGTAATACCTGTAACCAAAGACAAGAATTTTGGCAATGAGACACAAATACACTTAAAATAACATACTAACAGAAACTGAAACTGCAATAAAACATGGCAGAGAGAAAGTTGATATAATGGAAACAAAAGAAGTTGCCACTGTGATCTGGGTGGCTCAGTCAGTATAGCAAACAGGCTAAGGGCTGGACAAGCAAAGAATAGGGATTCAATTGGCAGTGGACCTGCGAAGGCAGACTTCTCTTCACCAGTGTCCAGGCCAGTCCTGCTGCCCAGCCAGCATCCTATCCAATGGATACTGGAAGCTCTTGCCCCATAAGGCATTACTATCTTCACAGTTCAGTATCACAATACCGGGCTTCCCCATGACAAAGGAGAATCACACATACCTATGAGCTGAAGATGTTGTTTTGGTATATCTCGCTTGTGGGACAAATACCGGTCAATGAAGTCCATCGTCAAATGGTAAGTTTCTCTGTGCATCTTGTATACTTCACACACCTATGAAGTGTAAAAGAGTGTGAAAATGTTCTCATCTCCAATGTAAACAACAAATTTAGCAACTCATCTAGAAAACCATAGTGACAACTGCTCAACTACATAAAATGGTTCATGTTGAGCAGCTGTTCAACTCGCCACTAAAAGTTATTTCTACATCAAAAATATATTCTGAGAAAACATAATTTTAAACCACAGACATTTTGGTCATTTCACATGTCAACCTGCTATATATTTGAGCTATGAGATGCAAAGGAATTTTAAGCAGTGCTCTTTAAGAAAATGTCTAGTGATCGAAAAATGTACATAAAAAAAGTCACCAAATATTTCATCCTCAAATTCAGAGGGAGCAAATTATGCAATGGGGAATGTAATTCTTAACTCATGCATTGAACCTGTTACACTGCCATCACTCACAAGCCACCAAACTTCTATTAAAGGCAGCTTCACAGAATTGGTGACACATTTAAAGATGTTCCAAGTTCATTACAGTCACTCTGCATTGTGAAATATCTTATGCTGTACCAATTTACTGCAAATGACTTTGTCTTTTTGTATCAAATTCCAAAAGTGAAAGCTGGGGCACTGTTATGTGTTGGTAGTTAATTTTTAAGTGGCAAAACGGTTCAAGGTTGTAAACTAACAGAACCTCAGACCACAATCAGCGGAGTCTCCAAACAGGCGTTTAACAACCTGGGGGAACAGAATAATGTGCTCTTGGAGTTATTTTTACAAATGCAATGTCTCTGCCAGACATAGTGAATGAATTACATGAACAACCCATTCATTCCTGACATGCAAACTGAGTACTGTATCAACAAACTAGAATTTAATTCTCTATACAACTCACTTCTATAAGCCAATCTAGAAGAATAGCCCTCATGCGTGGTTGGAGGCCAGGATGTTTGGAAAACAAATTTTCATCGCGTTCCTGGGAGAAAATCTCATCTTTGTGGCACATGATTTCCCAGACCTCTTGTGCATTGGCCCATTTCAGTGTAGGAAGTGGAGACAAGCGATCAGAGAAAGGAGTTAGGGGGCACACCATTTCTCGAAATCTGAAATAATAACTTTGTATAAACACATTTACTCCCAGCAACCCTCTTGCTGTGTTACCTGTCAGCACAGCCATTTTTTTGCAGTACACTAGCAGTTAGCTGGATTTCATTTTAAACAAATTAGTTTCAAACAATATACAAGTGTGAAAGGAATCACATGTGAATGCAGAAACTGAGGAAACAACTAGTGGCTCAAGTAAACCATTTTATTTTGCCATGGCATGTTACGATTAGATCTTAGTCAGAAATGCCAGTCTGAACACAGAACTGGTAAACACCCAAACCTGGATAGAGGAGTGAAAGGGTTCATATTCAGTGATTTTCTGATATTTCCAACACCAAATACTTCTCACCTGTGAACCAAATGGCACGTATGGAAATGCTATCATTTATGTCTCAATTTGACATAAATAATAAGAGCCCATCATTTTACAAAATGAGTTACAAGAACTATGGCGCAGAAACGATTTAATGATCCCTCGTCCTGGCTGCATGAGCTACAAATCTGGTGCAAGAATGCAGCACGGCTGTCAGACTTTCATTTTAACTTCAGACATCAAGGAATGTGTCACATGCTTACATACCAGCATGTCAGTGCATGCAAATAATACATACAGCTAGCAACATGCCTGTTGGCCAATGTTTCAAGGTGGATATAGCTCAGCACTAGCGGCCTCCGTAGTCTAGGGGTAACGTTCCCACCTCATGACTCAAGGTACGCGGGTTCAAACCGAGCGGAGGTCGTGGAATTTTTAAGGGCAGAAAAATTCAGGGAACAAGTCCTCCGGGAGGGATTTTAAGCCGTGGGTCCTGTCTCGTAGATTTACGGCACGTAAAAGATTCTCATGTCTCTAGGAGACCTCTGAGCAAAATTAGGTAAAAAGTTTCCCACCCAAGTAGTTTCCGATGCCTCCGGTAGATAGGGAAGCACTGGGTACCACAGCCAGCCTCACTGGCTGAAAGGGGCTGACAGCGAGCACCAGTACCGGCAGGGTATGGAGACTGGTAGAATATCAAAGGGGGACATACAATAGACTATTAGTCGCGGTGCATAGGGAAACCCACCCCCTTCAATAATAATAATAATAGCTAAGCACTGATACTAGGGATCATTAAATCATGGCCAGACTGTACTTCATGCCTTATACTCGTAGATCCTTCCTCCTAAAAACTGAGACCCTGTCATCATTACTGAAGTGAAGAAGGTCAATAAAAACAATACATGAAGACAGTAACCAAAACCGTAAAACACAGTATCCTTACTGGCTCCAAGAAGAAGGCACAGACATGGGTGTTGTATGTTCTCGAGGACAATCTATGTCTGATTCAAGTTCACTGCTGAATATACTGTCACTCAATGGGCCAGATGAGCACGTGTCAGTTTCCGGAACTACTTCATTTGCCAATATCCAACTCTGCAACACAGTGTGTAAGTGCATGAATAATTATCAAAGGCCGTATAATCTACACAGTAAATAGTATGCATATATTCATAGTGTCTGAACCCAGCCAGTCAAAATTTGCATGAGTTGCTATATTCAAAGAACCCTTAACTTTCTATGCCAGTTCCTCATTTGAAACCGCTTCACATCTGTTGCCTATATATAAAAATTTTATACACCATAAAAGAAATCACCCCCTTCCTTCTTAGTCTATTAAAAACCTTAACTACTGGACAGGTTGTTCTCGCAGTACTGCTTTTGCCTTGCATTTGAGAGGTGCTCGGTTTGAGTTCCAATTGGGACACTAGATATCCTGACAGGTTTTCATGGTTTTCCTCAGTCCATCCAAGCACCAAAATAAACACAAATTACTCCATGAAAGATTCCTTTCACATCTCTTCCAATTCATTATCACTCATCAACCTATTATTCAACCATATATACCCAGAATTACTGAGATTGTAAAATAACCCAAAAAGAAATCCTAGAGTAATTCTTACACAACCATTTCAAGGATTTTTGTCATCAGACTTGCAATTAATTTCCAGAATGACACAAGGATGCAGTCATGAAGCCAGTATGCACAAACTGTTCTAAAAGGTTCTGACGATGGTGTATAACACTCAGGATTACTGGATTTTTTTTAACCCTGTCCATCGTCTGGTATTCTAAAAACACAAAATAACACAATGTTTGGGAAACTGAATATGTTACCATCCTCAGATGAGGGGTGGGAGACATCTACTCTGTTGGGTCTGTTAGAAAGAGCTAACCTCAATCACTCAATCCAGTGAATGTGGTTAACTCTTTCCAACAATCCCAACAAATTACTTGCCTCCAACCCCTCATTTCAGGATGGAAACAGAGCCAGTTTCTGAAACATTTTTTTTTGTATTTTTAGAATATTGGACAATGGATGAAGTCCAAAACTGCATTAATCCTGAGTGCGCAAAAACTGTTCACATTCTATGTACAACATATTTATCTGCCTCCTTAATTTGGCACATGAAAGATTAAAGGCATGACTTCTAATTGCAAACAAAGCAAAATACATTCATACCGTGGTCCTCTGGGTTACGCAGTATGTTGACTGATACGTGGGTACCAAAGTTTTGGAGGAAGAGTGCCTCCACTCTCAGGATAGAAGTCTGAAAATGGAGCAACACATTCTTCCAAACTGGTGGTAGCCACCTACCAGACTACATGGTGTCACAGTCCTGCAGGCCACAATATGAATCTTTGCTGCCATAAAAGCCTCAAATCTTAAGGCAAAAGACGTGATGAATGTGTCACCGACAGTGGGAGGCAACTGTACTTATACAAGGATTTTAATATAAAATAAGTTTGTAGAGCTAAAGCTACAAGGTTGTGATGTTATACAAACTTCCATTAAATGTAACTACCATATGCAATACATTCTTAGGACATTGTGACCTGCTAAAATTTTTGCTTGAAAGTAGGTGAACAACTTATAGACTAAAACTTAGCAAACTAAAACAAGACATATATTTAACAAAAGTGTAATTGCAATCCAAATGACACACTTAGTAACTCGCCCATGTTCAAAACTGGTGAACAGTCTGTTTCATAAGTTTGAAATTTTTGGCCTGTGTGATCATTATGAAAGTTACTGAAAAATACCTGATTCGCAGATTGCTGAGCTCCTGATTCCTGTGCAGATGGGTTGTTCTCAGTATCCTACAAAGACCAAGCAATAGTTACCATGTGCAAACAAGACCAACGCTGAACTGGAAAGACAATATTACTCGTAGAAATAGATCTCGATTCTTGTCCTAATTCAGCAAAGATATGAGGCAGGAGAGAAAAAAAGATAATCCACAACTTCAACCGGGTGCTCTTAATCTTACGATTAAGGTTATTTGACCAAGTGCTGAATGCCATAAGCAGGTGTCTGTGGTGCCATTAAAAAATGTCAACTTTATAAAAATGACTATATCTGACAGCATGGGGAATAGGTTGGTCTTTTACTGACCCATGGTTAAAAGACAGTTACAGTAAATTTTTCTCTACATTAGAATTTCTTAGGGAGTTTCTATTTAAATATTCACTCATGAACGAAGAGCAGATGACACCTGCAATGGGAGCTTGGCACTACAGAAATTAAACCTGGAACTTCTAAGGTTAAAAATACTTATCAGCACAAACAGTGTCTGTTAAGACAAGATGACAACCACATCAATTTGATTGTCAGGACTCAACTGGACTGGATCAAATCAAATAGATATGGTGAACATTTGAGTTCTAACACAATACAATGAATTACTTGGGTAAAGGTAAAGGTGAAAGGTAAAGTTGCTCCTGTGCTTAATTAAGCACCATGCCAAGAAGGCTAGTGATTGGAGGTATAGCTCCACTATTCTTGACCTCAGAACTATATGGAGGTGAGTGGTCAGCTTCACAAACTGGCTGCTTTACTCCTGGGGAAAGTGGCCCTGGTGCCCACTGGATAGGAGGCTGGGTGGGACCCAGAGCTGGTCTCAACACTGTGGAACAGAGAAAAAACTCTTGCCGCTGCCAGGAATCAAATACCAGCTGTTCAGCCCCCAGCCTATCACTGTACTGACCAAGCTATCCCAGCTCCCCCAGTAATTTGGGTATGTGAAAAATATTCTCAGGCTGTACCAGTTAGCTTTCTTTATCCACCTCAGTTGTGTGAAAACCAAACCAAAAGAGGGAGAGCCCTAATCCTATAACTACATGAAAATAAAAAGCAAATTACTCACAATTATAACTAACTATTGATACATGAAGCTGAGTCCTTCTTGAGAAACGGCCAGCTGTGTGGCTAGTCATTAACTTCCCAACATTTTGTGTAACCCAAAGGTTCATTGCCATGATCACAAGAGCCCTCCACTGGTCCCTATCCCGAGCCAGATCAATTCACTCCACACCACCCCCTTCCTATCTAAGAACCATTTTAATATTACCTACTCACCTACATATTGGTCTTCCTAGCGGTCTCTTTCCTTCTGGCTTTACCACCAATATCCTACATGCACTGCCCACCTCATCTGCCTTGACTTGATCATTCTAATTATACTTGGAGATCAGTACAAGTTATGAAGCTCCTCATTATTGCATACAATTATAGCATTTATATTTCATAATGAATGTATATGGGCATGGACAAAAACAGATATTAGTATTCACAGAAGCTGAGATTTTTTTTTAATAAAGAGAAAACAAGGCGAGAACAAGAAATCAACAAATAAGAGAAAATTAAAAGATAAATTAATAAACATCATATGATATGGGAATGTCTAAGATTGAATGGAGACTCCCAAAGGAAGTTCTGAACATGAAAATGAAAGTAAAATGCCCAAGAGGGAAACCAAGATAAAGACTGGTACAAGTTAGGAAGGGTGTCATTCACACAGAAGGAAAAACATGGGTGGAGGCTGGAGCAGGAGGAGGAAAGCGTGGGAAGACAGGATTAATGGAGAGACTTTGTTGTTACATGAGCCATGAGACTGTTGAAGAGAGAAGAAGTACTCAAGCAATTCTGACATCATTGCACCAGTACCACACATCATCCAACACATATTTCTGTGCCTCACACAACGTATATTTTGGTGCCTGTGCATTAGACTTGACAACACAGGTCTATGTGATTCTGTCCTGGAGACCAATCAAGTTCCATGGACCTGTACCATACATATGGACATCTGCTTCACTCACCGCATTGTCGGACACTGTTCTCTTCCGCTTCAATGATAAACGAGCTGGTTGGCGATCACTGTAACAGAGGTTCCGCTAACTAATTTACTACAAAAACCCAAAATTACCCCCATTTTCTACAAAAACAATCAGCACCTTTCAACAAGTTACAGAAGGTTACAAGATAATGCTTTAACGCTTAAAGCCTAAAATTTTAATTAGTGACCCATAGTTAGGCATGCAAGGGGAAAAGGTCCCAAGGAAAACTCTCTCAAGTCAGTCTACTGCAGCCGTGTAAAACATGCGCCCCTCAACTTTTAGAGATAATTGATATTAATATCAATATTAAAACTTCAGTAGAAATATTTTTTGTAAAGACAATTTTCCAACAGACCAGAAGACAAGAAGTCTCACACAGATATAAATTAGCAGGCTGCAGGAAATTCAATGTTTTGCTATTTCTAAAACAATTTCTTGTGTAATCTCTCTTTTTACATATTGAAAAGCTGTTTGATACTTGTCAAAAATGGCATTTTCTTGCTTTTTAAAACTGTAAGATATGTGACTTTAGGTAATTATATTGAAATTATTCCTAAATAATAAATAGAATTAAATTTCCTTGTATCAAAATCGAATGTATATTTCTATTTTGAAGTGCGGCCCTGGACTATCAATTATAGGGCTGAGGTAGCCCTCTGTACAAGTTGAGTTTGACATGCCTGGTCTACTGATAATACAGGGTCTTTCAAAATTTCATCACACTTTCAAACAATTGGCTCATTATGAGCTAGCAATGAGGCCATGTTCTGTATCAGTGGCAAAACAAACAAGAATTCCTCAGAATAAGGGAAAAAATGTCTAATAAAATGCATTTTGTTTCATACTTATAGCTCTACTAGTTCTCTACTAGTTCAAAAGTGTAACCTAAATTAAAAACACCCTATAGTATTAAACTGTTTAAAAATCCATCCTCTGACCTCTTTGGTTCTAGCAGTTCTGACAAATGCCATATTATCACAAGACATTTCATGGCTTAAGGAACATATGCAAACTAATGTTAAGTTTCCAAACCATGTGCACAACAGACTTGGCCAAACTGTCAGTTAAGAAATGTTGTCTAAAACAGTTCAAAACTGGAAAAATCAGTGCCACTCCACACACATCCTTCCATTCATCTCACAATATGTTTGCTCATGCCCCCATTCCTAAAGGGACTAACAGGCCACAGGGATGGCAGAGGGAACAGGCATAACTTGATTCTTCAGTAAAGTAAGTAAAAAAGTAAAACTATCCCTGTACCATGCCATTAGAGGCTGAGTGAATCCCAGGGCCATATTGCGGCTGGAAGGATTAGGTCAATTGAAAAAATTCAATGACCTCATTGGGACTTGAACTCACAACCTTCTGGCTTGTAGCATAGCCCCTCAACCAACTCTGCTACCACATGCCCCCCAGGCATAACTTGATTCTTCAGTATTCCCTTAAACCACATTCTACACACTAAGTTAGTGGTATAGCTGATGCAAATAAATTTGGAATTATATCAAAACTAGAACAAGCAGACATATATATATGTACCACCTGCTTGAACATTCAAAAACTGCATTTCGCTCACAGATTGTATTTATGTCTCATGTCGTCCTGAGCATAACCAGCAATCATTTTCCCAAACAGCATTAACTGTTTTTTTAATGCTATGGGGTGGGACTAAGTCCCTTGTACTGCGGCCACTTCTGACCTATTGTACCAGCCCCAGATGATAGGTGAGGGTGCTTGTGGAGCAATTGGTGGAATGAAGATTGACAGGGGAAACCAAAGTACTCAGAGAAAACCTGTCCCAGTGCCACACAAATCCCACTTGACCAGACCCGGGACTGAACCCGGGCCACCGCAGTGGGAAGCCGGCGACTAACCACTTGAGCTATGGCGCGGCCCTAAAAAACAACCGCCCCTGGGTGGACTCGAACCACCGACCTTACGGTTAACAGCCGTACGCGCTAGCTGCTTGCGCCATGGAGAACGACGCAGTAACTGGTTGGTCTTTGTTATAGATGCAATGTGTTTTCTGTGAGGTAAAAAGTTAATTTTTATATATTATCTGCATGAATTTCAGGGTTTAATGGGTTAATGAAAGACACTATACCTCTCCCGATGCATGCTGAATGTGCTGTCCTGGGTCTTCAAAGCTGAACAGTCTGATGGTGAACTCCGTCACACCCAGTGCTCCTTCTTGAGGGAGAAAAGAAATTTCTACAATACATTTTTATCATTTCATTTCTTGTGTGATGAGTCATTTTTGAGTAACCTGCTATAGCATGTTATATAGGGTTCTGACGATGGTGTATAACACACAGAGATACTGGGTTTTCGGACTTTGTCCATCGTCCAGATTCTAAATAATTAAGAAAAATACGTTTCAGAAACTGGATCTGTTTCTGTCCTCACGTGAGGGAAGACACCTACTCTGTTGGGTCCCTTATAAAAAGCTAGCCTCAAGGTCCAGTGATTGAGGCTAGCTCTTTCTAAAGGACCCAACAGAGTAGGTGTCTTCCCTTAAATGTTCCTTCACTCATATGAAAATAGTTTCTGTAATCCTCTGATTCCGTTGCACCAATTTCTTTTAGCAGAACAACATGGGAATACTTTTCATGCTTTTTGTTACCAGTTTTTCATCCAGCGTCGGCGCTTAACATTTTGTTTCGTGCCTAATGCTAAAATTATAGCAATACGTGCTTTTCGGCGCGGATCCAGTATAATTCTCGAGAAAACTGACACAAAATAAATGTACTTCTCTCTTGATGAGTCGAGCAGTACTGAAGCAAATAATGTAATTTCTAATGACCGTGTAAGGTTGAAAAGTAATGAAGGAGTAATGAAGCAAGGTAATGACATTACAAGTAATGATATTATTACTGATCAAATAAGGTCCGCTTAACACTTCAACACAAGTTGAAGAATATTTAAAAGAAAAACTAGGAAGGAGACAAATTTAAGATCTGGAAGGTTATGACTGCCTCAGTATTTTCATCTGGCAGTGAAGGAGGGACTATGAAAAGGAAATAATAAAATGCCAGCTGCAGAAATGGAACAGCTAAGAACTGCCAGAGGTTGAACTAGCACAGATAAATTATGAAATTATATACAAAATGTGTTGGATATATTCCCTCTTTATGGAGAAATTTAAGAACAGAGGTGCAAGCTAAAGTTGTCCCTGTGCTTAACTAATTAACCACTATGCCATGAAGGTGTATGGTGGAGTGGATGTATAGATCCAATTAAAGAATAGAGAGAAATAGAAAATTAGTTTACATATGATAGAACATACTGACATTCTGCTTCAAGCCTATAAATATTTTCCATGTGGGAGACAAGACAGAGATCAAGAAGGTGGAAACACAACAATTTTAGAGGCCAGAACAGGTGATTTACCTAATCCATGACATAACGATGTTGACCTGTCACTTTCATATACTTGACTTTACCACCTTTTAAAGGAATCACAACTTGTATTCCATTGATGCAACACTAATATATACATACTTATTTCTATATTTATCTATATAAACAACCTGAATGCTTTCTAGAGCATACTTTTATTTAAAAATTATCAGCAGCACAAATTGATAGGTGATATGGTCTCTTCAGCTGCAAATTTTCCTGATTCCCTTTGACTTTCCAAAGCAACAGTGAACTTCAAAATATATTACACCAACTGTTCTACGAAATAAATTCTATTATAAACTTATTTAACCCTGGTAATTCCACGTGGATGTTACTAATATGCAGACGTACAGGCATCCACTACATATCAAACTGTTTATCCATCAGCTCAGTACTAAACAGTATTGTCCTCTCGTTAATCAAGTCAATCGGTTCTGTAGAAGAAAATTTGGAGAAATTTTGTATATTATAAAGCAATTTAATCTGTCCAGTATACTGGAGAATACCAGAATACTGCAGGCTTCATTTAATGATCAAGCATAGTCTCCAACTGAGTTCAAACCAAAGCGCAAACTGAACAATTTAACCGCAAAAGAGGTAATAAAAAATACAAGAAAAAGATACACATATAACCTTATTAATTACATCCAAAATGTGTCGGGAAGTTTCCAACATTTCATTTACCAAAGACACTGATTTAGAAGCTCAGAAAATTGCAGACATTTTATCGGATGCAATAACAAAGTAAAAAATTATGCTCACATACAAAAATGAAGAAATACCTGAAAAAGAACTGTAAAACATAACATTTTTATTGCAATCAGTGACTGCTATGTTACCAATTAAACACCGAACCCTAACCCGCCTGAATTCCTAAACAATGGGTAATGGCTTGTTACCCACTAGAATTTATCAAATAAAATAATAAACATTCATGATGATGTGCCCGGAATTGTTAGAAAAGGGCTTCAAACTTACCGTTTATCAATTATACAAACCCTCTTTTGCATATTTTGCACCTAAAACCTTAATGTTACAAGTTCCCTCCATGTGAGGATCGCGCGCGAAAATAAGGCATCAGGTCGCCCCCAGGCCGTACCCACATATATGCTTATGCTGTTAATTTTCGTTTATCTGAACTTTCATGCAACTTTTCTAGTTCTCTTCTCATCAAATTATTTAAGAAACACACATAAAGCATAGCTCGCCATCAGAAAACTGAAGCACTCTCACCCGTATAAGCAAGCACGATACACAGCCCAAATTTATAGTATGCAGGCAATTTTGTTATTTTTTCTCCAATATATTAAAGACAAATTACAGTACTACATGCAGTCTATTATACAACAACAAAACTAGTCATCAAAACTACTTACAGGCGCCTTTGATAGAACTCGCCATGTAGATCACAAAACTTTCACTGGTGAATGACATCCTTCGCTAGGTAGTACCCATTTCCGTAATTATCAAACTTAACAGCAATTTCACAGCAAACTTTCTGTTATACCTCCCAAGAACTTAATTAAAACCGGCAGTAACACACACTCTAATTCTCTCCTGTCTTAGGTGACGAACCACAATCTGCAGCTGACCATCCGTGCAACTCCAACTGATCAGTGACCGCGGGGAATATTGGAGAGGGGAAAGTGGGGGGAAGAGGTTATTTTGAAGCGCTGTTACTTCTGATTGGCTGAGCCCGTGCAATATACTTTGACTGAAATGCCAACAGCTGGCGCTCAGCTGATCGCCCATCAGTACAGTCCTAGCATACGCGGGAAAACGTTCCACTGGTTGCTGTAGAGCGGGGATCTTTGAAGTTACGTGTTTGTTTTGGATAGAGGGTAAAAAGAACGCTCCCCTGAAATTGTTCAGCCGTATACAACTCATCAAAATAAAATTTGGCATGATTTTCTTCGACCATTATATCATAGGTAGGTTAAATTTTAATATTTGAATTAAAATGTTTTGTAACCGTTAAATTGTCATTTGTAACCACAATTTGGATTTTATTCAAAACACGGTTAGGTTCAATTATGTTTCTACTTGTTCAATGGTTTACACTGCTTCAACCCAATAGAAGATATTTTCACTCAAGAATTATCAGTTCGCAGAACTAAGTACTGGCATTCCTGTTGCGTGGCAAGGGTTGCTTCGGTTGACTGCGGACGAGTATACGTTATAAAATAAGGGAGTGTTTTGGCGGTCGCGGGAAAACGTGTTCGAGAGAGACCAAGCATGAGAGCGTGGAGGCGTACACCATCTCAGCGGAATTCCGCTGCGAGCAATGGCTTGCAACCTTGAATTCAAGCAATTCGGTCGTTTAACTCATATTCCTCGAGTTAATCCAAGGTCCTTACCAGTCGTAATCCATCCTGTCCATGGCGTCGTCTACTAGAAAACAAAATTGGAACACCTCGATAAAGCCAGCCGACATTTCGGAGGAACATCGCATCCATCTTCAGGGTCGAAGAATAAGCCGAAAAGCTACCAGAGAGAAAGTTCTCTCTTCCACCTGCTTTCAAGCTGGTATCTTCACTTACTCATGGAGCTGAGCCCTTCTTGAGAAGCTGCCAATTGTGCAGCTACTCAAGGACTTCCCAGCAGTTTATGGAACCTGAAAGTCCATTACCGTGTTCACAAGAGCCCTCCATCGGTACCTATCCTGAGCCAGATCAATCCAATCCATACCATCCCATTCTATTTCTCTAAGATCCATTTTAATATTGTCCATCCACCTACGTCTTGGTCTTCCCAGTAGTCTCTTTCCTTTCGGCTTTCCCACCAATATCCTATATGCATTCCTACTCTACCCCATTCGTGCTACATGCCCCGCCCATGGCGCGTCCTCAGCTTGCGGTTGGAGGAGACGCCCTCCAGGCATGGAGGGTAGCTGCCAATATATTGAATAAGTAGTCGCGGACAGCCGACAAGGGGTGTTCCTCCAGCATGGGAGTTGGGCGTGGGGCTAAAAATTGCTCACCGTAAAAAAACAAACTTGTTACGAAAGATCATAAGAAACCTGGGACCTGGACATGCTGGTATCTTGCTTGGCTTATTCTTCGACCCTGACGATGGAGGTGATGTGTTCCTCCGAAACGTCGGTTGAGTTTCAACGGACTACACGATGTTATATCCCAGAAGCTAGTACTCCTCGAGAGGTTCGGTTGTTTTCCCCTCCAGAAATCGCCGAGTTGTTTTAGACAATAAAACAAAAAATGTATGGCTCTACTGAGGCGGCATTCCAGGAGTAAAATCGGCCGGAGTGTGAAACTGACGACACCTCCACATATTTCCTAAGTTAGGAATGCCTGCAGCTTCATCGCAACTTCATTCTGTGTTACTTGTGCACTGCTAGCATTATTTTTTACCGTAGTTGTTTTAATGACGTTTCATTAGACAATCGGATAATGGTAAAAGGAAGGGGTCGTGGTTTATTTAAAGGAATTCCCCCGACTCTTACCTGGAGCTATTGGGGATTACTGGTCGCAGGTCTGAGGTTACAGCCAGAAATCGGAATAAGCAGAAAAGGAAGAGAGTATCACAGCGGTCGCGCGGTCTAAGGCACGAACTGTCTTCGCCCGCTCTAACACTAGAATCGTGGGTTCGAATCCCAACCCTTCCGGCTCTAACAATACATAAGTACATATACAGGCAGACATATAAAAAGGTAAATTTGTCCCTTTATTTAACTAATTAAGCACTACGCCATTAAGACGTATGGGGGAGTGGATATATAGATCCACATTTTCTTAACTTCGGCACTAGTTGGAGGTGAGTCATGAGCTTCACGCCCCTGCTGTTTTACCGCCGGGAAAAGATCCCCCGGTACCCGTTGGATAGGAAGCTGGGTGGACCCCAGAGCCAGTCTGGACAACTTGGAGGAGAAAAAATTCTTGACCTACTGGGTCTCAAACTCCGACCTCTTGGTCGTCCAGCCAGTAGCCAGTCGCTATACCGACTGAGCTATTTCGGCTCCGCTATGTACACACATAGGCTACATGGAAAGTAAAGGACGTGAAGTTGCTGGAACACGCTGTATAAAGTATCTGTTGCTGAGGAAGGAATCTCAGGTGGTTACTGTCATTATTCCTTTAAAGGGCCTGACAACAGAAAGTGCGTGAAGGAAACCGAGAGTGAATGTAAAGAGGAAATTGGGGAGGGGGCGACAGATGAGACAAAATAGCCCCCAAAAGTTCTCGCGTTGCAAGCCCACTGTTCTCTAAGACCACGCGCCTAACGTCTCACAGAAGGGACGGCAGAAGTACAGACAGTTCCCAAACAGCTGCATCCAAAGTAGGATTTGAGGTTCTCAAAGCAGTGTTTATGAAGATATCTACCTTCTGAGATATAACGATTTGTAGTCCGTTGAAAGTCTTGGGACCTGAAGATGAAAGTCACATCTTCCTCCGAAACGTCTGTTAAATTTCAACGGACTACATAGTGTTATATTCCAGAAGAAAGAAATATTAGTCAACGTTCAAAGTTCGCTATGAGACTTATGCTTGGCTGTACCCGCTGATGAACTGTGCTAACAAAGCAACGCGCTGATAGTTCAGCGTCACTCACCATAATTTCAGAGTCAGTATTTCAGCATCCCGTTGCAATTGTTCACATCAGCGTCCATTTGTCTATATCCGTCTAAATTGCAACACTTGTTTTACACTTCAATATATTCTTTAACACTTAACACTACATGTTTCGGCCTCAAAGGGCCATCTTCATGTGTTTTATTACAGATATTCAATTACAATTACACCGCATCAGCACTAGTAAAGACAACACCACACGTTGAGGAGGAAACGAAAACCAGGCGCAAATAACTAAAGTGAGGAACAAGCTGCCGGGGAAAACATTTTAATATATATTTTACGGAAGTGACGACACCCTGAGTGAAGTGAAACAATAGATTATAAAAGAATTTTATCTCGTTTTAATTAAAGGAGGACTGCAGCGTGTGGTTTTTAAAATGAATTGGAACAGCGAAACAGTGTAGCAGTTTTAACAAGGTCTTGATTGAATACCTGTAATAAAACACCTGAAGATGGCCCTTTGAGGCCGAAACATGTAGTGTTAAGTGTTAAAGAATATATTGAAGTGTAAAACAAGTGTTGCAATTTGGACGGATATATACAAATGGACGCTAATTAGTATTTATGTTTCCATGCCATAGCGTAGGCGCCATGTTGGCGGAATTGCACTATTCCGATATTTGGCACTGAAGTTCCGAGGGTTTCACGTTGAATAACGGTTTTCCTTCCATTTTCTTCTTGCGTTTGTATATTTTTTGTATTTTAGTTAGAATTCCTGTCCCGCTTACCAGAGCCGGGATGGCTCAATCGATATAGCGACGTGCTGGACGGCTAGGGTTCGATTCCTGGTGGAGGCTAGAAATATTTTTCTTTTCCACATCGTCTAGGCCGTCTCAAGGACCCACACAGCTTGCTATCCAGTGGTCAGTAAGGGCTCTTTCCGCTGGGGGTAAAGCAGGTGGGTCGCGAAGCTAATCATTCGCCTCCATCTTGCGCCGAGGTCAAGAATTGTGGAACCATACATCAAATCCCCATACGTCTTCATGGCAATGTGCTTAATTAAGTAAGCAGAGGGCCAACTATACCTTTTCCCCTCTACTAGCCAAATATTATCAGAATGATCAAATGAAGGAGTATGGGATGCAGCATGAATGCGAGCAAAGAGAAATTCATATAAAATCTTGATAGAAAAACTTGAAAGAAAAAGATCAGTATGGATATCTAGGGGTACATGGGAATGTATTATTAAAACGGATCTCAAAGAAATGAGTGTGTGTGGCGGGGGACTGGATTCATCTGGCTCAGGATCAGGACCAGCGACGGGCTCTTGTGAATACGGAACGAAATCTTGGATTCTATAAAACGCTGTAAATTTCATTGAGTGGCTGAGCAATTGCTGACTTCTTCTTAAGAATGAATCGGCTCCATGGAGTTAGCAATTTACAATGTCGACATATTAAGTTCTATTATGGTTACATAAAACACATGTAGAGATTTACCATGGAGGCCCCGTTTCAATTACAGGACAGTCCATGTAATGGATAAAGTGGCCCTGGAGTGGGACTTCTCTCTCTCTCTTTCTCTCTCCTCTCTCAGAAATTCAGTTTTCCCCTTCCAGTTACCATTGCACCAATGCTCCCTGCTGTCATCAGAGGCTGTCACTGCGTGTCTACCTGAGACCGTCGAACTGCCGTTTCCTGAAGATTGTCTGCGACAAATGAAAGGCGTTAAAACAGCTTACCTGCATGGCCGTTACCATGGAGATACAAACACAAAATACATATTTTTCTTCAGTGAGAAAGAGAAAAGGCAGACCTTGCTATAACACATCTCACTAGTCTCAAGAACGTCCCCAACTGGGAAACGGCCATACTGACAGAGATTTTTTTGTGCTTTTCCTGCGCCCTTCTAGAGGAATGCTGGAATAAAGCCAATCAAATGATAAAGGAGTGATTTCCTTGTGCACAGTTGCCACATCGCAATGGCGCACATCGTGAGCTCAAGGCGTCCGATGAAGATGAGTGATCAGCTTAACGCTCCGACCGTATTACTCCTGGGAAATGAGGCCTCGATAACGATTAG